GCAGGCTTCTCTCTACTTCATGCTCCTCTCGCATGACGTGCTCGATGGAAACGCATCTTAAGCGCGCGAATTTAGGATAATTTGATTGGTCAACTTTAAACACTTTGCTATTTAAAAACTGTTATATATGACCTCCGATATTTTCGTGTTAGAATTTTCATCTCGAAGTTATCTCAAGAGTCGGTCAGTAACTGTTGTCATCTGAGACACTCTGTATAATGACGTGTATCATATACTATGGTCATCGCATATATTCTAAACACGATAAAAATAAATAGAACAACTAAAGTCCCACGTTTGTCGCAGAATCTTATCGTCAGGATTTAGAGCTTTGACCGTCTCGATCACAGGACATAAAAAAAAGAACAGTATTTTCCGAAGTCTGCCTCATCTTCCGTTTAATAAATTATCTGTTTAACTAAATTATATCCGATCGATTCAGAATTAATTTCTTTTCAACAGGGTACGTCAGTCGAGCTCGGATCTTCGAGGTTAGCTCGCAAGTTATAATTAGCGAATCGCATTTCGCGCTGCCAGCAAATTAATCAGGGGCGTTTAATGTTGAGGCAACTCCATTCGAGACACGCATGTTTGTTGCTCGGAAAGAATAGTTCAAGAGCAAAGAGTTTGGTCAGTGTGCGTTACATAACCTACGACGATGAGGCTCACCTGCGACGTCAATCGACAGGTACTGGTCGTAAATCACTGTCCAGCGAGCAATGTCGCTCGTCTGAAGATTCACCGCATCTACCGTCGCAGTCGCAAATTGTCATTGCCGGCGCCGGAACTGTTGCCAATTCGGTCGCCTATCACTTGGTAACAAACGGATGGAACGATGTCCTCGTCCTGGAACAAAACACGTAAATCCACACCCAATTTGTAGTTTGTATGTTTTGAGTTTGAACCGTAACAGCAGTACTGACAAATTTGACCAAACATTGCTAAGTTAGTATTAATAGCATCTGCACTAAAAGTTCAAGTTTTGTCAGCAGAATCTGTTGATATAACTTGATATAACACAAATTCATAGAAGAGATCTAGCCAAATTTGTCAAGCACAAATCCTTCGTCTTAATTTTTCTGCTAATCTGTCGTCGTACTTTATCAAGAAACTTTGTAGTATCGCCGCCAGCACTCTGCCAATAGCATCGTATATATCAGATTCTGTATAAAATCTGTAGTTTTTCTGCCGACACAATGTTATTATTTGCAGATACTTCGCAGAATCTCGATAGACTTTGATGACTAAGAAGTAACAAATTCTACTTGATGATTTCTCCATCTGTTATTATGTTTTATGGGCAGATTCTGCTTTTTGTGTTTCTTTTGATAAGATTTATAGCGGATACTTTACGTCTTTGTTTTCAATAGACTCAGAATTATAGCCGTTAAATGATAAAACGACAACTTGTTAATTGTAGAATTGGCAGTGGGTCCTCGCACTTTGGCTCTGGTACACTTGGACTCTTCAAACCAATTTCGCGCAGGAACCTCATTGCATATAGCATCAAGTTATATCAGCAACTGCAAGAAATGGGATATGACATAGGATTAAGGCAATGTGGTAGTATAAATTTGGCGCAGTCTAAGGATAGAATGGTGGCTCTTAAAAGGAGAATGGCTTATAATGTACCAACTGGATTACATTGCGAAGTATATAATACTGTTTTTTTTACAATTGATACAATATCAATTTAATATAATTCAACGTTCTGCTTGAATGTATTGATTAAACATTGTAATCTCTATGAGAAATTAATTGTGAGAAAAAATTTTTATCAAATTAATAAACACTTCCACTTTATAATATTTTACATAGCATATAATTATTTTGTTAAGAATTGTCTAGTTATAAAATTGTTAATATAAAGTACGTCATAGATTTTGGGTAAGGAAGAGCTAAAGAGATTACATCCTTATTTACACACTGAGGATATAGAAGGAGCGATTTGGGTGCCAGAAGATGCTGTTGCTAATTTAACTGCAATTTGTGAAGTCTTAGCAAAATTGGCGAAGCAGGGAGGAGCACGATACGTCGAGCATTGTCGTGTAGAAGAAGTGAAGACTGAAAAAGGTGCTGTTAAAAGTATCAGAACTGAATATGGTACTGTTTCCTGCCAGTACTTCATTAACTGTGCCGGAATGGTAAACATATTTCGTACAAATATTAAATGCAATTATAACATATTTACAGTGTAATTAATCTAATATATTTATTAACGTCATAGTGGGCTCGTGAGTTAGGATTAAAATGCACACCACCTGTTCGAATTCCTGCATATCCTGCAGAACATTTATATGCAATCATACCGCCTTTGTCATCAGAAATCAGTACAACTTTGCCATATATACGAGATTTTGACTCGCACTCGTATATGAGAGAATGGAAAGGTATTGATATCTGTTCCATATTTTTTATTAAATGCTTTTAATGAATTAAAGCTATGTGAAGGTATATGTTATATTTAGGATGCATGTACTATATACGTAAATTATTGATAATAATAAAACCGCGATTGATAATTACGCAGGTGGATTCTTACTAGGCTGGTTTGAGCCTGATGCAAAACCAGCATTTGGCAGCGGTCGAGTTCCTTCAAAGGATTGGGCGAAACACATGAAAAGTGATTCAGCGCATTGGCAGCCATTATGGGAAAAAGTTATACATAGATTACCGATCTTAAAAGAAATAAAACATCCAAATATATATAATTGTCCTGACAATTTTACTCCAGATGGTAGATGGATATTAGGAGAAAGTCCTGAAGTAAAGAATTATTTTGTTGCCGTTGGGATGAACGGCAATTCATTGCAAGGTAAACAAGGTTTTGGAAATGTCTTTGAATTCCTTGATTTGTTCTCACATCTCTTATACAAATAAGTTTGAGATATCACTATACAAATGTTATTTGAAAAGGTGCTGGTGGAATTGGTAAAGAAATCGCTGAATCTTTAATAAACGGTGAATCAACGCAGGAGGTGCTGCCGTTCAATGTGCAAAGATTTCTAGATTTACATAACAATAAACAATATCTGCAGCAGCGAATGAAGGAAGTGGTTGGCAGGAACTATGCTATACTATATCCTCATCAATCCGAGTATAAATACGCTCGTAAATTGCGTTGTTCGCCCTTGTATTCTGTACTCGAAGAACGAGGCGCAATTTTTGGTGTGAAAATGGCCTATGAACGCCCACTTTACTTTGACCCCACTTATAGGCGTGAGTTCTTCAAAATATTAAATCTTCTGACATAAAATATCTCGCTGAAATGTCATAACACTTGTGTTACCTTTATTTATATTTGATAGGAGGACAGAAAAAACCGATTATGCCCAAAGGCAGTTTTTATAAACCGAAATTCTTTGATTTTATGAAGGATGAATTTCAAGCGTGCAGAGAAGGTGTTGGGATAATAGATATGAGCTCATTTTCCAAAATTGAAATCAAAGTAAGTAATTAATCAATCACCGCTAATGGCTCGCGTTTATTATTGGCCTTATATTGTGTTGATTGTTATTACTTGGAAATAGGCGTATCTTCATATTTTTAATTTAAGTGATTGACATCTAATGAAATTAATAAGTACGAATATACAATTACATACACCTTTCCTCCTTTCCTCACTCCCTTTTTTCAACAAAATTTGATCAAACATCCGGCTTTTAATGTTACAAATTTAATTTGTTTTGTTTTGTTATTCTTTTTAATAATTAATTTTCTTGTAGTCTAGTCACGGAGAAGTAGTAGACTATCTGCAACAGTTGTGCTCTAATGATGCTAATATACCCGTTGGTGGAATAGTTCATACAGGAATGCAAAATGAGAAAGGTGGTTATGAAAATGACTGTATATTGGTACGACAAGGAGAAAATAGCTATTTTATGGTCTCGCCTACCTCGCAACAAACACGTATTTATCAATGGATGTCTAGGTAAGTGCTATTCTGCAGGATATATTAAATGTAATATTAGTTTGGAATCAAAGAGAAATTTACTTTTATATAAAAAATACAATAATAAACGTAAAGAAAAGTCCTCTATTACGAGATAGGATTCTAATATGAGACAGCGGGTTTTCAGCGTCCAAATACAATCACAAATCTTTTTTCGCGACGAGTACACGATCTAACAATCACTTTTCCTGTGAACAGAGATTTCACTCCAAAGTCAATAAATTCACGGTGGAACCAACAGATGATGCCTATTCATTTAGCAGAACTCCGCTACCTCGTATTAGAAGCCTATCTCATAATACGGGACTCTTCGCTATAGTTTCTTTTTGGAAATTCTTCGAAAATAATTCTTTTACTAACAATTAATTTTCTCATTTGAATTCCAAGCTACCGTTCCTTGTTGTCTGTGTAAATATATAAGCATTATTATTATTAATATAATTTTGATAAACTTCCCCTATTTAACAAAATAGACATTTGCCGGCAGATCATTCGGTAGGTCTTAATGACGTGACTTCAAAATATACAGTGATCAATGTAGTAGGTCCGAAATCTACTGACCTGCTTTCCGAATTATCCAACTCTGACATCAATCTTTCACCTTTCACTTATAAGGTCAGAATATTTTTCGTAATCGTCATTGATCGGTTCTTTTATTTTAGTACAGATATACAAAATGATCTCCTTCGTTTAACATAGTAGACGGTAAATGTTGCATACGCTTCGGACGTTATGGTGATGGCGTTCACACATACGGGTGAATCTGGTTATTGTCTCCATATACCTTCAGAATATGCATTGCACATTTACTCAACATTAATGGCTGTAGGCAAAGACTATGGTGCACGAGATGTTGGTGTACTCACGCAACGTTTCATGAGAATAGAGAGATTTATTCCGTTTTGGGCTGAAGAATTGACACCGTATGTTACGCCGTATGAAGCTGGATGTGGCTACAGCGTAAAGTTGGATGTTAATATCACCTTATTAACCCTATTCTATCTATTTGCACATATTTCTACATTAAAAATGGATATTCTTTTAATGAAATATACTTTTTGTTATTTTTTGTATTTTGCAATTTTATTAAAAATTTGAAGATCGATAAATTACAAACATATACAATAAAAATTGCTCTGATCTGATGTGATTTAGTAAATATTTTATAACTTCATCACAGAAGGGCCATTTTATTGGCAAATCTGCTTTACAACAACAAAAGATGCAAGGAGTGACGAGACGACTGGTTTTATTTGTTCTTGATGGCATGGACTTGAATAAAGATGTGTGGGCATGGGGCGGTGAACCGTTATATCGGAATGGTGAATTTGTTGGTACTGTTACATCGGCTGGGTAAATATATGTTACTTTTATTGGACGTACATTATCATATACATATATGATATATACATATGTATATAATTTATCTATATTCTATATTGTTACATATATAACATTACATATATAACATCATCATTAACGTTATTATATTACAATCACATTTTCAGCTACGGATTTGTAACGGAGAAACTCGTTTGTCTTGGATTTATTAGTCTTCCTGAAGCAGGATATAAACAACAGACGAATACTATCACAACAGACTTTATAATGGATCCAACAACGCGTTATGAAATTGATATCGCTGGATTTAAATTTCCTGCTAAACCACACATCCACCCATTGTCCATACCAGTAAGCAGTACATTAAACAAAAAATATATTCCCACTCCGGTTATCTCATACCAAAGTGATGTTTCATGTTAAAAATAATATTCTAGTCATTTTTGTTGGTCAATAAAGTCCGTTCGGACTTTAATGAGTAATATGTTATTTTTAGTTGTACGTAATAATTTACAACTTGTATAAGTGGCAAAATTAATTTATTAATAACTCTAATATATTGTTTTTATGTACTAAATTGATACATAATATAATCTTCTAGAATGACTTTTATTTTACAATGTTAATAGCTGCAAATTTATGTATATTAATCGAATATTCGTAGTGTTGAATGTGATATTTATAATAGTTGTAGAGGTAAATTTCTTTCAATTTATGTGGGTAAAATCAAAATTTTAAAAAGGATGTAAAAAAGCTCAATTGTGTTGAAACATTCTCTATTTTATTATTATTGATGAGCTTAACACCATGATGGCTCTGAGGTAATAAAATTATTGAGACATTGTTATTATCTTGAAATATATATCTGTCAGATGAAATGATTCAAGTAAATATAGTAAATTTAGAATTTAAACAAGTGAAGGAGCTATATCAAGCAATAAGCGAGAACATTCAGTCTAAGAAGGCTATCTTCATTATCTTTGCCGAGTGCAAAGCGTTGTTATGGAGCAAAATGACCTTGAGAATTTGAAACAAAAATCTTTTTAACTAACACAGCAAAGCTAGTACTACAAAATTATTACATGTTTTTATTGATACTTATTGATTTTTACCTTACTTTTTTGGAGATAAGAAGTAACTGGAGAAAATCTGTGCAAGACTATCTTTGATAAACTTGAGAGAAAACATTAACGCACACCATGAAAATCATATTATCTATCATCATACATATATATGATGTAAATCTTGTGTTGCAGTTCTTACGACATTTCTGTTCCCAAAAGTAATGTATATTTCCTAAAAATATTTAAATAACAGAACTCACACTTTACTTGAAAAAGTAATTTCAACGTGATTTAAATGACCTTATTAACTTTTTTTCCTAAAATTTTACCTTATATTCTCTCTAGTTCTCTTATCTTCTTATATCTAGTATCTTCCATTCATATTTTAATGACAAGTACACAGAAAATATGAGTGTTATATGTGTAATCATGTACAGAAATATTTGTTTATATATTTGCTATTTATTTTGATTGTACAGATGTAAGTCAGCAGTAAAAATAAAAAAACAAATTTCTTTCGGTGGAAGTTTTGTATATATGTACACAAGTGTGAATGTACAATCAATGACACACTGTAAGATGCTTGATGGTTAGATCTTAGGCACTAAATTTAATGTTCAAAGATTTATTTATCTGGTATTCGTAAACTTATTAACGGGTTGGAAGCGCGAGCTAGATGTCTCGATTTAGCACTCGTTGCTCCCGATAGTACAGCATCCCTGTTAAATTTTCGTTTTCTCCCTCCAATTCCCATGACGTTCTTCAAAGTCAATGGTACTATATATTCAGGCACGTCTCTCAGATGCGGTTGCAGTTTAACAGTATGCAACGTCTTGTCCTGACGCAATGACTTCAAGTCTCGCGGGTTATCCTCAAAGTAACTTTTCAGTTTTTCGCAATTCATAACTTCCTGTTTAATTTCTTTCAAGCGTGCTTCTCGAACGGCGATCCTCGTAACGGCTTTCCAAGCATCTTTTGCACGATAACTGAAATTATTACAATTTCGTAAAGTAAAACAAATTAGCATCGAAAATAATTCTATACGAAGTTGTAAAGAAAGTATAATTAAAAGAAAGTATGTCTGTTATATATATTTAAAACAATTTTTAATTATAATAAAATCAGAAAGATCAAGTTGTACGTACCGAAAGCCTTCCACTTGTTCCAATTTAAATTGGTAGGTTTTAAATAGATTTGCAGAGTTGTAAGTGTGCTTCAATTCTCGTTCTATCTCTTCCATCACTGGTCTCTCCTTAATAGCTACAAAACTAAGGGCGGTTCCTCGATTGTTCCCACGGGCGGTACGTCCCGCCCTATGTATGTAAGCATTTAGATCCAAGGGAAAATCGAAATTTATTACATTGGAGACACACTGGAAATCGACACCGCGCGCTACACCCGATTCCTTGTCTTTCTTTCGTTTACTCTTTTTGGTTTTTATTACATGTGGCTGTAAGAAATAAGTATATAAAGTATACGAAATGGTACAATTCCTTATTAGATGCGTTTGTTTCTACCTCTTCTAAGACTTTCTCATCCGATGCTATTATAATGTCATAAACGCCACTGTTGAATTGCGAAACCGCTCTACATCTCGAGGTTGCTGGTAACTCAGAATTTAAAAGACAAGTTGGAATACCAAACTGCTCTAAGAACAGCTTTAACTTGTAACATCTATCTACAGTATGTACAAAGATTATAGATTTTCCCCTGATAAAAAGAGAGCATATTTGAAATTATTAGCAGAAATTATTTTAGACTAAACTACTAGACTAGAAAATATTATGTGCGCTACAAAACGCTTGTGTCTACGCGCGTGTGCACGTGCGAATTACCTAATTAAATGTAATTTCAACAAGGCGTATAAAATGGCAGCTTTATCGTTTTCCTCTGCGGCCAAGGTATAATGAACTAATTGCGTAGGAGGAGCCAACGGTGGCTCTTCCAACTTTAAAATTGCAGGATTGTGCAAAATTAATTTTTTCAACGTTTGAACATCCTCAGACAATGTGGCGGATGCTAAAACTGCTTGATATGCCGTTGGCAGATAAGTTAACGCAGCCTTCATATCCTTTTCATATCCAAATGAAAATAGCTGTAACAGTTAATGTTACAAATATATGTTAAGTGACATAATTTGACTAAATTAATTTTTGCAATGCTTGCAAATTCAATGGCATACACACCAGATCAGCTTCGTCGATTATTAATGTATCGAGACTATATTTTAGCGTTAAATTTTTTGCCTTTAAATGTTGCAGCAATCGAGTTGGCGATGCCACAACGATATCTGGCAATTCGCTCAGTAAAAGTCTTTGGGCATTCAAATCCACTTGTGAATTAAGCTCAATGACTCTGACCTCCCTACAGCACTTTATCGTTAAGCTTATGATAACATTGTGAATTTGCTTGCACAATTCCTTGCTAGGTGCAATAATAAGACCCTTGATCTCCTGTCTCTCTTGTGTTCGCTTGCTCAGTAATATTTTCTGAATGAGCGGTATTGCAAAGGTGGCAGTTTTGCCCGAACCTGTACGAGCCTTTATTAAAAGATCCTTCCCTTCTAGTAATAGAGGTATCGCCTTTTCTTGTATTAACGTAGGCTCCGTCCAGCCTAATTTCGTGATCGCCTATAAATATTAATAATTCTTTAGATTATTCTCGTATTCGATTACTCTCGTTGGAAGACTTTGCAGAGGTGAGCTTCCCATATGGTGTTTTACACAAGTGGGGGGGGGTCACCTAGGTTAGGATTTGCTACTCGTATGCAAGTACTTTGAGAGTTTGGAGTCACTTCGGGCGCGAGGGTTGTCGAGGGCTGGAGTATGCTTACGCGGTTCCCCCAGCTCTCGACGCCGACCCAGTGTGGTCCTCGAGGGAGAGTTTTTAGTGGGTGCAAGTCCCACATGACCTCCCAGGCCGGCCTGGAAGGCATGGCCGAGCCATTTTCTCTTCCTGCCGAAAAACAACAAAAAAAAGGGGGTAGTCCATATCAGGGGTAATTTTTGTACACTCTAACCGCTAGTGACCAACCCCTCGGCAGATACATTCGACTTGATTGGAATCTATCGAATCGGTCTTACCTTCAATAACCTGTCGTCGAGTTCTAATTCGTGAAAACTCTTCGACTTGGAATCAACACTTGATTCCATCTTTGCACGCGGACACAAGAGGTTAGATCGTCTCTTTAACTTTTACCACCTTATCCTTCGACTATACAATCATGGACTGCTACTTCAACTAGTTGGTTTTTTGTTTCAGGCTGTAACCTGTAACCAGAGAGAAACCTGAGAGCGGCCGCGCCGGCGTTTCACATGTCACCACTTTGTGCGTGTCCATGGCCGCGTTCAGCAGACACAACTGTTGAGTGAGCGCTCGGTATGATTGGTTAATACTTTCAGATCCAGCCAATCATGTTAAGAAATCATTGAGCGCTCACTCAACAGTCGTGTCTGCTGAACGCGGCCCATGCTACGCCTATTTTTCAGGATTATGCTGTAAAATTCAAAATTATTACATTAACATAAATTAACAGCATGATATTTACGTCAACTTTTCTCACGTAGACAATGTAAATTTTATAAATTATTAGATGTCAGAATGCGTAGCACAGACATGCACACGCATTACAGCATTATAAGTGTCAATCAGTTTTATGTTAACAACATTTTGCAACATTACTGGATCATTTTCGGCGTAATATTGCAATTACAGTGTCTCTGCAACTTGCAATGATGCAACGTTATTGAGATATAACCGCAAAGATGAAGAAACAAACGTTCAGTGAATTTTAACTATTCAAAGTGTATCTATCCTTTTAATATTATTTTTTAATTATTATTGAATACTAACATTTCCATTTTATTTTTAACACATCATTGAATTAATGATGGTATCAATTTTAAAAGCAGTACTTTTTTCGATCTCTATGAAATTTATTTATAGCAAATATATTTATACAAAGGTTAGAAGGCCATGTGTATTTAACAATTTAAAGAAAGAAAATTCTTAAATTGTTATATGTATATGTATATACAATAATAAAATGATATTTTCTGAGAAACAATATATACTTACAGTCCATCTTTTTTTCTACTAAGAACATAATTTTTTCATATTTTTACATTTTATATATGTATATGTACGTGTATGTATATTTGTATGTTACATGAATTGGTATTCACCATCATCTCTTAAGTTACATCCGTTTATTAATTAGGAATAGATTTACTGTAAATATAAAATACGGTATAACTTTCTCTCTGCCCTTGACTGTAAGCATTTTTTGCATATTATTCTATTCACTTATTAGTAATTTCACCGCAGCATAAAAATACAAGCAATGTAATCTTTACTTAAGCTTAAATATTAATTTTAGTAGTTTCATTTGAAAGTTCTGCTTAAGAAGCTTGATATTAAAAAAATTAACTATTTAATGCAAGGTATGATAGTAATTTACGCATGAAGACAATAATATACAATTTACATTTATCTAAAAACATCGTGTATCTTTGATTTTAACATCATTTCTAACATCACTTTACGATGCCCATGCCTCTAACTCTTTCAAGTCGTCGTCCTCTTCTGGCTTGGCTTCTACAAATGAAATTTCAATATTTTATTGCTCTTCAATACCACAAATCAATGCTATAAATTACAATAACACTTCTAGATGCGTTGTACACAATTGTTTAAGCTATTTTTATAATATATCGGAAACTGATGAGAATAATTGTTACTTGTGCGAGTTTTGCTTGGTGCAACGGGAACTGAAGTTGGTACTGCTGGTAGTTCGTCTGTCGTTGTATCGATACCAAGCAATTCTTTATCAAGCTGTTCTTGTTGAAGTTCCTCTAGCTCCTTTTCCAGCTCGTCCTCATCGGCATCTTGGCCAAATGCCACTGGATTAGATATGGCATCTGAAATTTCTTTGGCCACATCTTGTTGTTCTGCTATATCGTCCATCATATCGTGTACTTGGTCGACATCCCTATAATATAAATATAACACAGATATAATTACATATGAACACAAAATTCACGACAAAATTATTTTACATACTTATACGTATACTGTATTCATATTTTTAGAAAATCAACTCTTTCATTCCTAACACATATCCACGTTACATCCACTGTTCTCAAATAACTTCAAGATTCTACTGATAAATATTAGCGATTTAGTAAAAGGTGCGAGAATCTTACATATGTTGATGCGCAGCCTTCATCGCGTCGGCAGCACCTTTCATGGTAGTAAGAACGGCGGTATTCGTATTTGCACTTTCCAGTGCTTCTCTTTGCATTTCAATTGTAGATAGTGTACCATCAATTTGCTGTAACTGCTTTTCATATCGCTTCTTTCTTTTCAGTGCTTGGATGGCAGCTAAAAAGATACACGATATTCTTAAATGCTTGATTAAATCATATCCAGTAGCCAAATGTTAGCAGTATTCATAGCAGTTTGCCAGCAAATTCGAGAACATTGTGGCAAAGTGGTATTAATTGCGTTTGTATCAAGCTTCTCCTAGTAGAGTCCATTGACACAATTTCATTAGTAAAAATTACGCAAAATCTATTATTTCATACAACTATAAATAAAATATTTAAATGATCACAAAAAACAGTAGATGTTGCTTGGTTTCTACAGTAAATCTGCCAGCAATATTCTACAGATTTTACATTTTTGTTGACATTTTGCCGACGAAATTTGTAGCAGATAAAATCTGTTTTTGATCGTTTGATATATTTGGCTATTTAAATACGGAAGAAGTAATAATTATCCAGAATATATATGTATATTGAAGCCTGAGAGATGCCACGGCTGGGCTTTAGGTGATCCACGAATGTGCTACGACCTCTGTGGACACGGTTAAAAACCGTGGACACGAACTACATAGCCAATGTCCACATTTTGTTAACAATAAGTGGGTAACGCAAATTTACAAAATTTTTGGCCATGTTTTTGTGCTATAGTCAGGTCCCGTGCGACGCTCTTGTACTTAAGTTTGCTTAAGTACAAAATCATTGGCACGGGACCTTACCATAGACATATCTGCGTCATCCGCTTGGCAAAATGTGAGCATCGGCTACATAGTGCATGTCCACGTTTTCCAATGTCCATAGAAGGCGGGTCGCATTCGAGGATCACCTAAAACCCAGCCGTGGCGTCTCTATTCAAGTCGAGGGGGAAACCGCTGACCAAAATCTTGTACACCAATGCCCAGTGGGCATTGGTTCACTTTATTATCTTATTTCATCTTTATAATGCCTCAGCAAGGCCTAATTCCCAAACTAATGCCCAGTAATGTCGCAAATCTGTATACCACAATGCCCTCAGCGGTTTCCCCCTCGGTTGAAGCCCGAAATTTGAGGAGTAAAATTGATCGAAATACCAACAGAGATTTACATTTGCCTTATAATTAAATGCGATGCTCTTGCTCTAACGAATACGTCGTATTCCAAAGTTTTGTTTATATATCTTCACAAAAGAGTCTTTGATTAATCTCTCGACCATGAGTGCATTGTTTCTTTCACATTCCCAGTGGCAGTCAGTGGCAAGTTGATGATCTTTTAATCTTTGACTATACCAAATAGATCACCCTAACTGCCTACATGATTCAGACGCCGTAAGGAAGAGGATCTTTGACTTAACGTTTGACCAAAATGAGAAAGATAGTGCACGCATGTCTGAGAGACCGGCAACAAAAATCTTTTTCTGAGAGCATAGCGCATTGAAAACGAGACTGTACTGAAATATAACATAAATCTAGCTTCAATATCAAGTCGTATAAATATATTCCAGATAATTATCGACTTACTTTCATACAATTTTTTATAAATGATTAGTTGTAGGCGCGTGGCAATAAAAAAACCATAGACCTAGTCTAAAAACGTAATGCAGACACGTAAAAAGGAGGCTAATAATTCGACACGACAATCGAACGAGAGAGACAGATACTATAATCAAACTAATGACAATGACAGTTGAATTGTATGAGTCAGTGACTCAAGATGCAAAGGTTGCGGAGGGTGTGCGTACACGTACGTGCGTTCGTACGCGAGTTATGTACACACGCTACCTCGTTTGTTTTTCGACGCATTCTTCTTCGCTATCAACACTTCATTGTCTATTTTGCTCTCCAGGAACTCTTGCTTCTTTATCAACATATCCTCTGTCTCGCGCAACTTCTGAATCGCCTCGGCCGTCGAGGGTGCCACCGGCTCCTTCTTGCCGCCAAACACCTTGCTGAAGAAGCTCATCGCGTCGCGTCTTTGAATAATCGGCTACTTGACAGACTCCTCCGATCGCGCACCAACGGATCCTGTGTGTATTTTGAGGTACGAAATGGAAAATCCGTCCCTACGAGACCACCGTCGCCATATTCTTTTCACATTTAACTCAACATATATATGATATGACACACGCACTTACGTCATACATCTGTTCCTTTTAGCTGCACCATCTTGTGTCGTCTGCACTCGAAAAGAGGAAACTACTCTCGCGCGGTTCAGATAGAAAAGGAGGTGCAGTCGATAGAGAGAGACCAACGACACGGACTATAATCCGTATCAGACTACAGATTGAGACTGAGATTAGATTGAAATTTGATCAATCACACTGTGATTATCACAATAAAGTTTACCAGAGAGAAACCTGAGAGCGGCCACGCCCGGCGTTTTACTTCTTGATAATAGTTGTTTTCCTTTTACATGAAAACTCGAATAAATCTCACTTGTGACGTCATTATAGTCTGATACGGGCTTTAAGTTTACTAATCTTAAGTTCAGTAACTTTTAAGCCCGTATCAGACTACGGATTGAGATTGGGGTTAGATTGAAATTTGACCAATCAGAGTAAAAGTTACTGAACTTGAGATTAGTAAACTTTACTGTGATTGGTTAAATTTTAATCTAATCCCAATTCCAATCCGTAGTCTGATACGGGCTTTACTCTGATTGGTCAAATTTCAATCTAATCCCAATCTCAATCCGTAGTCTGATACGGGCTTTACGCTCATTTTTAGGCTGGATTCACATGGAGCGTAACTTGCGTAGCGTAACCTGCGTATCGCCAATCACAGGACTAGTTCAACGGAATTATTGAAACGGTTCTATCAGCATGATCCTGTGATTGGTGATACGCAGGTTACGCTACGCAATTTACGCTCCATGTGAAAGCACCCTTAAGGTGCCTTTTCATACGCAGCATGCAGCAGCAGCAAATTAGTCACGTGATCCAAATTCACTAAAGCATATTTGCTGCTCATGGAAAAGGAATAGCTGCAGCAGCACTGGCTGGCTAGATCATAGACTTCTATAGACGGAGCATTAGCTACGACTCTGGGCAAGAGGGGTCTGATATTCGGGACGCGGGAGGACTCATCTGACATCGACTCTTTCCGGTGAGATTCGGTAATATTCGGTTCACATTTCCAATACGTGTGCACACGTATATACGGCGCGTTGCTTGTGTGCGAGCGTGCGCGCGCGCGTGGCCGAACG